TAGATCAAGTAAAAAGTTCGTTCGGTTTTTATCTAAAAGATGGCGTTATTGTCCATAGTACTACTGTTACGTGACGCATCATGTCACACTCTACCGCGCTTAAAAGTGTTTACTCGCGCTAAAAGTTTGTATTTGACAGTTTTTCGATTGATTGACTCAGTACGTTGTGAGCGCTCGTCAAAGATGGACACCAGCAAAGAGAAAATTCGCTATATTTTATAATTTTTCTTCGATCAAGGCGAAAAAGCAGCCAAAGCAGCTGAAAAAATTGATTTAGTTTATGGGTCCGATACTTGAAACGAACGTGTAGCACAAAAGTGGTTTGCTAGTTTCATTCCGGTAATTTCGCTGTCAAAGATGTACCAGGTTTGGCTAAGTGTTTGGTGAGATTGGCAAGGAATCAATTACTACGAGCTGCTCCCCTATGGTCAAACGCTCAATTCGGTCCTCTACTGCCAACAACTGGACCGCTTGAAGGCCGCACTCTGCCGGATGAGGCCCTCTTTGATCAACAGAGGTCGAATTGTGTTTCATCAGGACACACACGTCTTTGGTAACGCGCCGGAGGCTCCAGGAGCTCGGATGGGCGGTCCTAATGCATACACCTTATAGTCCAGACCTGGCATCAAGTAATTACCAACTTTTCCTGTCCATCGCGAACGTGCTTAATGTTGAGAAGTTGGGCTCAAGAGAGACATGTGAAAATTATCTCTCCGAGTTCTTTGCCAATAGGGACGCAGCCTTCAACGAGAGGGTTATAATCGTTGGCAACAAGTTTACGAATAAAACGGCGCATATTTGACTTAAATCGGACAAATTTACACAAAGTTGTTTGCAAAATCAATAAAAAAAACCGAACGAACTTTTTACTTGACCAATATATGACCATGCAACAAATCCTGAATATACCTGAGAGAAATGGGTCGGCACACATCATATTTTTGTCAATGTTAAAGCTTTCTTCGGTAGCACGTAACGAAACTATCTCAACACCACATTGTCAAGGTTGGTATGCCTGTAGAACTTTTACGGCTGTGGCTCAGACAAGGCGACTCTTTTTCATGTTTCCTTTTCATGTTGAATTATTTTTTACAAGCAGCTGCGTCGAGTTGCCAGTGTGAATCATAGCATCATAGATCTGCAAGTATGTGATGTAGTGCCGGCCGGTAAAAGCAGAGGAAGAGAAAGACCACCACCGGCCGGTCAATCTTAAGCTAAGCGGCACCCATCTGAATGCCGGGGACAAGATAGACCTAAACTAGAAAACCGAAGGGTTCTTTGTGTCCTGCCAAAAAGGACAACTGATTTATATCGTTGATTTTTACCGTTCATTTTCTATCATTGGGAGGATGTGTTCTGTAGCTCCTGTTGTCCCAACGATGATCATCAATTCAGTTCCCACGAACAAAGCTTAAAAAAAGAGTTTAAGCAGTTAGAAAGTAATTAATTTCCAGAAGCGCTAAATTAATAAAATAAGAATAATATTTAATTTATTCCAGTAATTTGGTAATATTACTTTTCGCCCAGAGCCGAGGAAGTGATGACAAAGTTACATATCGTCCATACTTTCGTGAAACCACAAGAGATTATCTGTGACATCACATTGCTTTACGCGAGCGGTGTGCATGGTATGTATGTATGTATGTATGTATGCTTTTTTTTACGCCACACTTTAATATTTACCACTTTTACTACATCGAAAGAATACAATAACAACACTTTGTCGCAATTTAACACTTCATAGCCGCGACGTGCAATATTACCACGGTGCCTTAAGTGTTACGCTGTGCACTCACACTGGGCTTCATATATACATATGTATGTACACTACATACAAACATACCCACATACATGTGTCCAGTTATCCTGCTCAAGTAAATAAATAAAAAACAAAATGAAATTAATTTCAAACGATTTCCTTCCGGCATGCACCGTCGTACAATGGGATGAGATTAAGAAAAATTTTCTTAAATTTTATTACCTCTGACAGGCCTTTTGGGATGATAAAGCTACATCTTGAACTTCAGATATGTAAGTAAGGTTGGCGCTATGTAACTGCTGAAGCAACTTTCAGCCGAGCTCCTCTTCCAATTTGTCGTGTGTTTGCGTGCTTCATGTTTTTCCAACAAATGGAGGAACCTACAATTTATTTTAAGTCATCTCCGAACGGTCGCTGTAGCCGAGTGGTTAGCATTGCGTACTGCCATTCGGAAGGTTCGGGTCAAATTCCCGTGCGACCAACATCCAAAAGTTATAGAAAATTAGTTTGAATAAAAAATTAAGCTAAATTTTCTAATTACGGTCGCCCCTCGGAAGGGATTGTGAACGCCTCCGAGTGTATTTCTGACATGAAATAAAGCTCCCCATAAAAAATCCATCAGCCGTTCGGAGGCGGTTTAGTACAAACTGTAGGGTCCCTCCATTTGTTGGAAAAACATCAAGACGCAAAACGGAGGAAGTGTCAATTATGTCCAAGTATATTTATATATCTCCGAATCGTCGATGGATTTTTGTGACGAGCCATTGTTTCATTTCAGAAATACACTCGGGTGGGCTTGACATTCCCTGCCGAGTGGCGACCGCAATTAGAAAAATTTATTTTCTATAATTTTTGAATCATAGTCGAAACAGGTCGGCCAAATGTCACAAAGCAATGCTAACCACTCAGCCGCTTACAGTCGGGTAAAGTTGTGTACGTGTGAAAGAGGTCCGATGGACGTTAAATACAAAATTCGATGTCCGGTTTTTAGTAGTGTAAATACGAATTTTGTCGACGTATACAGCGAGCTTACCGATAACCGTGTGGTACACACACATGAGGGCTATCTCTGCTGTTATATCAAAAACCACTTGTTATAGTGAGTGCTTCTAATGCCTCGTCAAGCACAATTTTGTCGCTCCAGCAGCGATCTGCTAACCACTGTGTGTCGTGACGAACTCATCAAAAGTGACAGCTTTGTAGCTGTTCATGCAACTGTTGCACAACATTGTACATACATATGTGTGTACATACGTATGGCCAAGCTTTGTGCGTGCCATTGCAACCAGCCGTAATATACTCTTGATACAACTGAAGGGACGAGCGAGCTGAATGTTTGGACATTACATGATAATATTTCCCTACAGCAACATGGCTACATGGTACATGAGACCTTGGATGTATACCTCGAAATGTCTCTCAATTCCTATTATACAACATTTTATCTGTTTTATGATGTAATTTCACCAAGTGAGTGACAAAGTGACACTTTCATTCCAAACAATTTGAGGTTATCGTAAAAAGAGCTCGTGTCTTTCGAATGCCGGGGAACCGATGGTAAATGGTTGTGAAATGAAATAACTTGTTTTTGTATTTTTATTTCTTTTTTTCAAAAGTTAAACGGGAAGTTTGAGTTGAATGAATGGAATTTTTCAAAGGTAGGTTTGAGTTCAGCCGTTACTCTGCAGACTAAGAACTATATGTGACAAAAATTAGACGACTTCTCCACTTGTAGAAAACCGGTCAATACACACACCACTAACTGCATTCTTCTGTGGTTGGGAGGACTAACATACATATGTACTGGGTAAGATAAACGTCCATATACCTACTCTACGGGACTGCAATCTGAGCTATTTGATACAAATTAATCGGCTCTGCGCCAATCATTGTGGCTCATTATTCAAATGAGAGTGAAGCCTAAATTATAATTGAGCTCGACGCATTGCAACCGGCCACAGAAAACAAAATATGACAAAAAGGTTAGACGGCAAATAACGTCAGGACGTTGGTATCGTACTGTGTTCGTACCTAACCCTGCGGCGATTATGGATTACTTCTGCTGCATGCACCGAAGACGACTTCACAATTCTGCTATTTTAGAGTAGCAGCAACAAGTGCAATGGCTGCAATCAGCTTAAGATCATTTCATTTTAAGGTCCACTGGGACTGGACCAATGGATGCGTGGAACTGTGCTACCAGCGCTCAACTGCGTCCAAGCCTCTATGAGAAAATGCCGACAATCAGAAAATGGAAAAACACATCAGATCTTCTGAGCTGTGCTTGAGATAATGAATATATATACATAAATATGAATACATTTCTCCCGATATCTGCTGCTGAGTATATGTTTGTATTTGCGCAAATTAGATGTGAAAACTGGTTGCTTTTGAGTGTCCTAAATGCGCACCACGGCCTCTGGGATTCTAGTCTATTAAATGACCGTAGCGGAATGAAGGTAGCAGAATAGATATACGATTCGACATTCTATACTATAAACAATCCCCAGCCTGGTCCGATAAAAAGCATAACTTGATCGAATTACAGAAACTGAAGCATCAAAGCACGGCTGCCTAGGCTGTCCTCACTGCCCGATCGCTACAAGTAGAACCAGCGAAATCATCGATCATTCTTTTCAGCAGATGGAGAAAAGAGGACAGGTTTGAGCTTGATGTGAAAGTCGATGGCGTAAAAATTCCGACAATAAATAACCCCAAGTTACTGGGAGTTACTTTTAATAGCCTGCACTCACTCACTTCGCATACGACTGCAATTTCCACTAAAGTACAGAGCCAGAGTATGCAAATCAGCTCGTCGAAACTAGCGAGACGCAGTTGATCGAGTACAAAGTATGCCAGAACACCGCCCTGGGTACTTCCTCATGTTACCGACGCATCACTAACACAGCGGAACAAGTATGCTCCCCATTAAGAAGCGTGTTGTTTAACTGTATAAGCAATATTCATTCCAAAAGGCACCACGTACATATGTCCGGCACCCGTCGAAACAGTTCGTTTCGTTGACCTCTTATTAGAAGGCCTCGACAACTTAGATTGGTCTCACATGCTCCTAAGTGGATTAGCAGTCTTCTACAATAACAACAAGAAAAAAAGGAGCTCGAGCTATTGTGTCAATCAAGGTCTGGCTTCGCTCTAAGCAGAGTTTTACGCAGCTTTAACTTTCAAGAAAACATTTCAAACCGAGCAGACTGCTTTCAATGAGTCGATAAAAATCAGAATGTTTTTTATGGAATTTTTTAAAATTTATTGCTTACTTAGAGATTAGTTCACTTTAAATTCTACATACATAAATACTTATATTATCAATTTACGCACTCCTTGCCGCCTTTCGTTCATAGTAACGTTTAACAGCAGCGTCAAAAAGCCCACCCACCGTACGCTTTTCCCATACTTCTCTCTTATCTCTTTTAACTTTGGGAGGAACATTATTAGTCTCACTGGCATCAGTCTCTGCGATCGCCTCGCTTTTTTCTTCTTTTGCGGGTTTTTCAAGTTTTTCCTCGGTTGTTTCCTTTTTCAATGCATCTAAATTAAGAGCGATATTCTGCGGGCAGACATCCGGTAGTGTCGTTTGGTTTTTGTGTGAAGAACTCTCTTTGGCATCGCCTTCATCATCAGTAGATGAATCTATACTAAAGTCAGAATCTGCATCGATATTATTTGGCAAATGAACCTTTTTGCTATCAGCTTCTGCAGTTGTTCCTGCCTCTTCGACATCATCAGATGCTCGGCGTTTACGGTAAGTACGTTGTTGAGATAGTTTGCCAGATTTTATTGGCTTGTATGATACATCACCATCATCACCTGCGGAGGTAACAACGGGTAGTTCTGGCTTTTTCACCGCTTTTGTAGAACCAGTTTTTTGTTCAAACAAATGTCTATAAAAGCCATCTAAATCTTTTTGTTTGGTTACATCACCAATAGCTTCTAGATACTCATCACGCTTTTCTTGTTCTTCCAGCTTACGTATTTCCTCCAATTTTTTCCGATAAGCAGACGTAACGAAACTTTCTTTGTCTTTGAATTCTTCACCCTCCTGTTCTCTTTCCTTCTGTACTTGTCTTTCCACTCGAAGTTCATTTTCCAATTTACGTCGTTCAGCAAACTCCATTAAGCGCCCAATATATTTGGGTTTCTTCGGTTCCTTACTTTTAACCTCTTCCTCCTGATCACGCTTATTCTCCATTTCATCGTAAAGTTCATCATACTGAAAAATTGTGGGATCTTCTTTCAATGCCTTCTCTTGCATATTACGCGCGATTCGGCGTTCCATTAAACTTGGTCCTTGTACGATACTATTTCGTGGTTTAAACTGCGGTCTGTTATCATCATCTGAGGAACTTTCATCAAAAATAGATGGTTTCGCAACTGGTCGCGCTGTTGCTGGCACAACATCTGGTTTCTTTTGTTTTCCGGGAATGATAAGACCATATCTAAAATAAAGTCATAAAAATTAAAGGCGCAAATTTTATTAATTTCGTATATAACTCACTGTTTGGACATTTTATAAAGCACTTGCTGTTTTCCTTCGAATTTGACTGATTGATTTTGTTTTGTCGATGTGTAGTGTTGCCAACCTGAGCAATTTAGTAAAATATTGTTGCGAAAATGCGAGGCGAATGTCAGATGAAAGAGAGAAGCCGATAACACAAGAACCTTCCATAGCGAACAATTCGATGCTTCTACGCTTTCGTCTGCGAGCAGCCGACTGCTATATAAAGGCGACACTCAGCTGCAAGTCAAGCAGTGACAAAGCAAATTGGTTGGCGTTAACATCAGTGAAGACGTAAAGTGAACGCGTTGGGAATTACATTTAAGTAGAGTAAATTGTGAAAGTTGATGTTAGTGATTATAAATAGTAAAGTGCAGTATAATTGAATTGTGAATTACTGAGAAAATAAAGGACATTAGATAGAATCTTTATAACGAAAGAAACTGCAAATTAAGTTGGCGAGTTTTTATTTAACAATCCAGAGATCGTACCCGAAGGATCTAGAAAATAATCGAGGTTGATTTAGTAAAATCGTAACAATATCACTTATTTTGTTATCGAATTTATTACAATAAATCTATCGGTCTACCGATGTATCGAATTTGATCAGAAATAGAGCGAATGAAAATAAACGTAATTGTGAGGAGAAGGAATTTCATCTCATCCAATAGAATACGAACATATTAAAAATGTTTTCTTTTCCCACTCTTAGAAGTAGCTGGAAAAATAAATATCTCAGCTGTTCTTTATTCCTTGGGTTTACTTTTTTCCTATACTTTTCTAACGAAGCTTTAAACTGTCTCATTGGCAAATTGACTTGAGGACGTAGTTAGAGAATTTGTTTTATCAGCAGTATCGCCTTACATAAACCTCAAAAAAACACTACGTTGCCCTTTTCATTACATTTTATTATTTAACCATTTATATATAGCACAACAACATTAAGATAACTTAAATTTATAAAAGCATATAGACGTATTAAATATTTAAAATAAAACAAATTCAAAGAGTAAAAAAAAACTTTCACCTTTTTTGCATGGTACACCTAAATATTTACATCTACTTATTTGTGTGTTTTTAGAACAGTTTCCAATATTGTTTTATTTTATCGTCATGTGCCAAATATAATGATTGTGGCCGTTCAAATGCTAATGCGTATTGTTTACTCTTTTTTGCTATTTCCTGATCGAAAATCTGAACAGAAAAAATCAGTTACAATTTGCTAAAATTTACGTTAATTAATACTCACATCGTCTTCTTTTAATTCCAGTACAGAAGATAAATCCCATTCAGTGCTCGGCAAGGGTTGCGAAATAAAACGTGCCGCATTCGCAACAGCTGGAATAGCGTGTTTCTGCAGTGATACTACTTCCCACAATGAACTGTCTAGTGCATTTGATTTCGTTGGATCACGTTCCTCCATAACGAAAGGATCACGTGAAACTACAAATAGGAATGAAAATGGTTTCTAAAAAATATGATTAAAGTTTTACAACCAAAGCTCCCACCTTCTATAGCAGCCTGTGCGCATATTAGGCGTTTTAAGCCCGGATGGCGTAAAATCAGATTTCCGATGAAATATAAAATAATTACAGCATCTTGCGGTGGTGCGATTAAGCTAAGTCGTGCTAAACGCTTAACAAAGGCTGCAACCAAATTCTCTGGTAAGTGTGTTGAGCTTAGAAAAATGTCAGCCAAATAGAAAAGACGTGCTTTAAATTTGGTATGGAAAATCTCAGGTTCGAACATCGAATACAGTTTCTCGTAAATATTAGGATATGTTATATTATGTTTCTGTATTAACGTGAAGATGCCTTGTAATGCAAGTAAACTGATGGGGCCACCTGGAATTTTAAAGCAATTTTATATTTTTTGATTTTAACATATTTCGCGTTTTATTAACTTTTTCATGTACTTACCGCAGTCAAGTGAATCCATAAGGAAATCTGTCAAAAGAATTGGCTTATCCAAATGTGGCAACACACGTTCTAACAATATGATTAGCATTTGCCTATGTACGGGCTCCTGTATACCATCCGTCCATTGCATTAGAGACAGCCAAACTTTATTAATACATTTTCGTGTTTGCGCATAATCCAGACACTCTGGTTGTGCAGAATTTTCATTGGAATGTGTTATACATAACAGCTTTTGCTGTTCTTGTACATCTTTGGTCACAGGCAAAGCATTTATAAGCTCCAAATAATTACACGCAAATACTTCATTAGAGAAGGCGGTACGAGAAGCTAACTGTTGCAACAACTTCCAACTATAAAATAACAAATCCAAATATTCAGAATATTCTTTAAAACGTTGTAGCAGAACATTTTGAGACTTTTCTGATGAAAGCAACTTCTGCAGAATATTGCGTAGTCGTTGTTTTGGAAATTTGCAGGGCTCATCACTCTTGTCTAATGGATATTTTCCTTCTGCTGCCAATAATTTTATGCTTGTCACCAATGCTTGCGAAGCTTCAGCTGATTTTTCGTGGTCAAAAGCGCTGTGCATTAAACACAAGGCTTCTTCGTAACGTTGTCGCAGCCATTCACGATATTTAGTTTCTGGACTTTCGTCTTAACACGCAAGAATAAAGCGAATATTAGGTTGATAAGGTAAGAAAATTTTTAAATTGAGTTTACCTTTTGGTTTTAGTGGCACACTGTCTTTGCACATCTCCCTCCTTTTCAAGAGCTCCACAAATACGACCTCCAAAGTCAACACAGTGGCTGCAATTGATTCATTTTCTTTAAGGGAATGCTGAAGAGAATAAATAAAATTAATTTTGCAAACGAAAACGTTTAAAATGATATTTAGATTTCGTTTAACAGTATCAGCAGAAATAGTGCGCTGATAATCGGAATATTAAAATGCATACCTCGAAATAAGCAATAATATCCACCAGATTGTTAGCATGACGGCGTGAATTAAGAAAATCATTCGCTTTTGCTCGTAGCTCCTTGGATATTTGACTACGCATAGTTCCGGAATTTAAGACGAACGGGGCTGAACCAACAGCCATAGCCATGATATCTTGCTGTAAATTTTACAAAAGTAGCTTCTATTTTATTAAATCGCAGTACGCGAACCCGAATCACTCAAATAAGTTATTTTTGGGTAAAATAAAAACTTGCATGAAAAAATCGTGGAGGATATGTATATAAATTGTTGGGAATTGATCGCAAACGTGAAAGAAGAAATAAAAAATTTGCTCAACATACCGGGCAACAACAAAAACATAAAATGTGCTGCCATATTATTGGTATAATACCTTGAATTAAACTATTTCTGCTATAAAATTCAGGTATAAATGTTAATACTATTTACTAAAAAATTTAGTTTTTTTATAAACGTTATTTCAAAATATAAGTTATAGTAAAATTTGTTAAAAGAAAGAATGTCTTTTTTCATTATGTATTCTGCTTATATATTCGACAGCTGGTAACTCCCCAGTAGTGGTGGTCTTGTAATCAGCACGTTTTCTGCAAGACTGAAAACACAACACTCAAGGTAAACAAAACAAAATTCGGAAACTTATAATGAACGTGGCCCCAGATTTTAAGCCAGTGCCAACTCGAGCTGCTCTAGCATTACACAGAAAAAGTCAACAGATTGAATTCCAAGCACTTGTTTTTGAAGATCCTTCTAAATCTGCAACTTCCAGCAATGATAATGTCCTGGATAAGAGTAAGAAACACAGTGAGCGTGCTTCCCAAAGTCGCAACTCTAGAGGTGAGCCAGAAGAATTCGACATTAAGAAAGCTAGACATGAAGTACTTAGCTTTGCCATGAACAATCAACGCATCATTAAAAACAAAAAGAAAATGGAGGCTTTTCAACTAATAAAAATGGGAGCAAAACCACCAAAAAAAGCTTATAAAAACTACAAGGACCTATTAGATGAACGCAAACGATTAAATGATATACGTGAACAGAGAAAGAAATTCCATCAATTGGGCAAAAATCAAACTGGGGCGGCGTCTGTGAAATGCCGAGGTAAAACCAAACTTGAGAAACAACAGAAGAAACGCGCTCCTGTTTCAGCAATAGATCAACATTATGGTGTGGCGAAACCAAAATTAAAGAAAAGGAAATAAAATATATGTAAATGCAAATAATTTGTTATATAATAGTAATTAAGATAGGCTTTTTCAATGTCTAATAAAGTTAAATGAGAATCTAAAATTTTTATTTCTGTAATATAAAACTTAAAAATTAACTTAAAATAAAATTTTCGATAACATCAGTTTCAAATTTTCGACTACGAAATTTCATCTCTAAGAATGTTCTGTCATTTGTCAGCTGTGATTACGTGATTCCCTCAGTGGTACGGTGTTATTAATTTCCGAAAGTCAATAAATTATTATAATTTACCAAGATGTTCCTTCGTACGCGTTCTTTGCCCGCTATTGCACGACGCGGCTACAACCAGGCTGCACAAGACATGTCTGGAATTAAGCCACCAAAGGGACCAGGTGGCGGTGCTAGTATCAATCCCGACGTTCCCGGATTGAGTAGTAATATTGTGAAGCCATCATCCGGACCGCTGGGTCCAGGTGCTTCCCATAGTGGTCAATATAAAGTACCCGAATATTACTCCTTCAATCGCTTCAGCTATGCAGAAGCCGAAGTGGAAATCGCTAAATATCGCCTGCCTCAACCATCATCTCACAGAAAGTAAACGCTGGAAGCCTACAATATTTAATGTGTGAAAAAAATTTTGAGCAATTGTATGATAATAAAGTTGAAGGAAAATTTAAAGTTAATTTATTTTTTTATTTCGCTGCGTAATACAAACTATATTAATGATAAATATTCAACTGAAACTTTTGTTTAAACAATCATTTCCAGTTCGCGTGCATAGAATATAGCTTGCTCTGCTAATTCAACTGAAGGTAATGCCTCTTTTGGTTTAGCAGTCTTTTCTGTGAAATTGTAAACTCCATCCGCGCCCAAGTTCCAATTGCGTTTTTTGCCAAATGCTTTCACTTCTTCCAGAGAGTTAAGATTCAGACGTTTGGCTGCTTCTTTAGCAGATATTTTTTCGTATGATTTTTCAATACAAGCACCGATTTCATCACGAACGGTATTCAGTAGTATATCCATGAAATGGCTGTATATTTCCGATGGCGCCGAGCTCTGCATATATAAATGAAGAACAAATATTTTCTGGGTCAAATAAATGATGATAAATGAAGTAGTAATAATAACCTTTGCTTGAAAAATTTTATTATAGCGGCCTTCCATTATATACTGTTCCAACGCCAAAATAGGACGAATATATTTATTATTTTGTATGATATCAGCTGACAAAAGCTCCAATTCTGTATGGAATTCGGAGACCCGATTAACGGAGAGTAGGTAAAGAAGATTAATGCCCAATAATTTGTACATATTTTCCGATTCGCCAATTTTTTGTCTAAAATACATTAATAATAAAGGATAAGTTTTCTGCGGAATACTTTTATACATACTTGTAATCATAGTAGTAGCACTTCAATTGAGACATATAACGTTCATATGCTGGTATATCCTTATTAGCAACACTGTATTCCACGGCGATTTCAAGTACATCTCGCGCTAATACCATTTCATTTTTCGATGTTTTGATATCTCCAGTCGGCAAAAATGCTAATTTTGTTAACGCAATCTAAATAGTTTAAAACAAAAGTTGTTGGTGAATTTGTAAAATGGGATGAGCTTTGTGAGGTTAGAAATATATACCATTTACCTTTAAATTGTCTAAAAGTTGACCACATTTCTTTAAATTTTGTGGCTTTTTTGACCACTCGGCTTTCAGTTCTTTGTACAAATTTTCTATACCACTTAAATTTGCCATTTTCAATGATATTAATACCGATATAAGTATGACAAGTTTATCAGAATGATACGCTAAAATTCATAAAATTGTTTTTTTCGCTTTCCTTCAATGTCAACTTTCTGCTGTCAATCTTGACATTGTAGAGTTTACGTCGTGTGTTTTACTCTGACATACGGCCCACCCAAATCTATTACAATTACTGAGATTTCAGAGCTATGGCTATTTTACACGATCGTTGAACGATTAAAATATGTTTATTTCGAAACAAAGCTATTTCTTCCACTAATAGTTTTGAGGATTACACTTCTTATTTTCTTGTTTTAAATTAATCATCTATAATATCACCTCAAAGTCTCCTTGTAAAATTTCAGTGGCCGCCATTTTCTACAAATGCAACTCTCCAACATAACCTTATTTACATATAGCTATCTCTTTCGCACTTGTATAATGCTGCCAATGAACTGTCAAAATGACGCCATTTCTGTTCTTGATGGCCCTCTGAGTGTATCCCTTTCATGCACAATAATTTTGTTCGCGAAGTGAAATTAGTGTTGTGAAAATATCACTGTGATGATTGCGTTTCCTTACATCGAAATGTCATAAAGCGTTATTAGTTAACCAAATCTAAAAATTTTAATAAAAATTTTAGTAATTATTGTTGTGAACATAAATTGTTTGATTTGAACAAGCCAATTATTGGAATATTGAACAATAAGTGAAGAATTACAGAAGCTTGCGCTGCCTTCCAGACGGCAGCGTATCGTGTTCGTCGATTATAGTGTGCAGAAGCAAGCTACGTTTTCTCGCATCCTACTGCGGTGTTTTTTAGTAATTTTTTTTTTTAATCTTCGTATTGCGCGGAAAATAGTAGACATAATTTGTTTATTGTATTTTAATACATATCTGAACAAAAAGGAAATTCAATAAAAAGTAAGACAATCACTAGTAAATATGTTGTGCTTCATGATGTTTGTACTAGAGCGCCACGAAGTACAGTAGGGCAAATTGGAAATATATAAAAGGCAGTACGTCCACATAAAAGTAGTGTTTGGTGTCTGATTAAATGTTTAACTCGATGAAAAATTTGGTAAAGCATCCAAATATGTTTATAAGAATCGGAATTATATATTTGCTCATGTAATTCGCGCCAATATTTGACAATTAGGGGTATGGTTTGAAGAGTTGCCACACGGCTGCATCATTAAGGGATGATGTGCATATTAACTTCCTTGAACTATATTAGTTTAATTTAGTTTTCTTTTACTGAATTACAAAATATCCTTTCTTAGTTTTTATTTTACTTTGTTTTGCAGAAAATTATATGTGAAATAAGGATGCGCGTTGGTAAGAAAGCTAACGTCGTGGAGGCGAAGAAAACTCGTTCTTGTGTCGTGCGTTTAGAAAAGGTTTCATCACCTCCAATAAAAGTTACAAGAAGTAGTGGTATAACCTCTAGAGGAATTCAATTACACACAGAGGAAAAAAGATTTAAGGGACCAATAAAGAAACGACCCATTGCTCAAAGTAGTAGCATTGCAGTATCTACTAGTGCTGCTCCCCCGATTTCAGAAACTTCCACAAAATCATCAAAAGTCAAAGAAATGAAAGAAAAATTTAAAACGCCAATTCGAGGAGGGCAAAAAGCTGAAGTGGTTAAGCCCGCTGTGTCTGAACCACCAACTCCTACATTAGCGACGGGACGATCACGGAGAGCGATAAAACCAAATCCAAAATATGCCAGCGATGACATGGTCACACCAAAAATTATAAGAAATGTGTCAGCTATTGCAGGATCATCATCCTCATCTAAGAGGCCAACGATTGTTCCAGAAAAACAACGTAAGAGGTCTACCAGCAGTTCAGACGACTTTTTCAATAAAGATTCCAGCGACGAGTTAGGAGCCAATGATTTTGATGATGAAGTAGATAAAATGTACCAAGAGTTAGAGAAAGAAAGCGATTCTGATTTCTCGGATGAGCCTAAATTGAGTGAATCTGCGAAAAAACGCGGTAGACCGAAGAGAGGTATGCAAGCAACACCGTCAAGTACTCCCGCATCTGCGCCGCGTCCAACACCAACCCCTCAACATAAAGGACAAACATCACAACTTCAATTACTAAGAAAATCTTTCGCAGCCAGTGTAAATCGATCGATAGAGCCATCGGCTGGCATGAAACGCAAACATAATGACTCAATAGGTAGTAGTAGTGACAACGATAATGATGCATCAGGTGTAGTTCGAAAACGTATTTTGCTAACAAAGTCGGCCATCGCGAGAGAAGGTAAAATTTCAAACTCTACCAACATTAGCATGTTAGTACGGAAACCAAATCCAACACTAAATGGAAGCAGAATTCTTAAAATCAAATCAGAAAGCATGGACATAGAAAAATCTAAACGTAGCCCCACTATTATAGAAAAGCGCACTCTCATAGATGGTAATAGCGTGCCAATTAGAATAAACCAGCAAAGCAAACAACTGCAAACAATGCGAACTCTTAGTAATAACACATCAGCGTCAGCAACTACAACCCGAACATTAATAACAACATCCAGTAAGACTCCAAATGCGCGAGTATTGGCTGAAGCGAAGCGTCGAAGTGCTTCTCCCGCTATTTCAAAAGTAACAAAGCCAACTGACGACAAGATCGAGGATAGTAAAATAAAAATAATGCAAGGGACATCGCCGTCAAAGAATAACGAAAACGATGAATTAATGCCTACATTTACAATTGTCAATATCAATGACATTATTAACAAAAAAGGTGATGTACTAATATCTAAGACTGGACGACCCCATAACGAAAGTGTTAAGTCGGAGCAAACCTCAGTCCCTGAGAGTGCTAAAATTATTGAACAAAAGCCTGGACTTGTACGACGCAAAGGCTTGTTAGCGGAAAAAGGAGGCGAAATGAATCGTTTAAAGAATCCTATGCCGCCCACTAAAAAACCCACACAGAGAATTCTTAATCATACGCTTCTTAAAAAATCACCTCCGGATACATTCACAGCACGCAATAAGGTAAAATCGCTTCCCGTTGAAAAACCAGCTCCGCGCATACTCAATTCAGTGGTGGCGAAGAAAACTCAGCCAGTTAAGCCGATGATAGCCAATTTCGATGATTCGGCTGATGATGAAATTTATCCCCTTTCCTTTGATGGCGACGAGGATGCTGATGAGGATGATGGAGAAGATACAAATGATACAGGAGAATTAGAGGAAGATATAGATGATGCAGAGGAGTCCTTTGAAGTTGGTAAGAGTAGGCTTCCATCCAGTACACCGTATCAACCGAAAAAATCAGCGCCATCATCTAAGGAAAACTCACAAGTTGCACTCAATCGGCAACAACCAGCAAAAAATGTTATTCAACGCAAAATAACACCGGAAAAAGTTATAATATCACGTCAAGGTGATAAAATAGTAAAGAAAATAACATGTTTCGAAACATGGTACGTTATTATACCCGAGGAAATAAAACCGAAAGTAAGCCGGAATATACTCGAGATACCGTTAATTAAATTGGCTAACATAGCAACCGAAATTTGTCTCCCAACCGACGATTGGAAGAGTAAAGTGACGTTGCACGAGTTGTCACCATCAATGATTGCCAAAACAAATCTTATCACATATACTGGCGATCTCAAAGATTATAACATCTCGGAAAAGGATCGAAGCCGTTATCAGCCGTCGTGTGTAATGTTTAGACGTTCAGTAAATGATCGCACGAAATCACGACTTCCCTACGATAGAGCTGTCATATTTAAGAATAAAACATTTTTTACAAATATCGAAGGCAAAAACGTTAAATTAGTTGGAGCGCCTAGCACAATCAGTACGCAGAAGGATGTCGAAATATTACTACAAATTGTAGATTCTTTAACACTTCAAAGTTCACTTGTTGAACCTACAAATACAACGCAATAGGCATTATTGGCACAAACACAAATTTCACTACACTTCATTGTATGTATAGCTAAAAACACATACTTGTAATGACACATTATTTCGTTAGAAATTCAATTTTATACTTAAGTTATAAAACAAAACAGCATAAATTGGAAAACTCATAGGATTTTTCAAATCTATGAAATATAAATCGGTAATTGAATTACGTAGGCATGTAATATAAAGAAAAGCTATTATATATATGATGTATTATGTATGTATGCTTAACATTGTCAAACTGTTGATAGAGTTTACCCATTAGTAATATACATGGCAAAAAGTAAATTTCAATATAATAGTAACATTTTAGCAATGTTATACATACATATTAAGCTTATATAATAACTCTGTACGGATATATGTAAAAACTATAGTTTGCAGGGAATTATAGTTAAATCCGGGATTATATGGAGGCCACTGAACATTTTTTAAATGCAAAGGCATTGGTGCGTAGGCATTAAAAATATAAATACTGCATAATGAACTTGACTAACATCTCCAAAATACCTTGTCTATTGCCAAGAGAGGAATTATATATAACATAAAACGTTAAACATTAATTCATTTATTATATACTGAAATCTTATACATACATATTTAGTATATTTGTAAAGTCGTTCAACAATAGGAGTGAAAACAAAATGAAGAAAACATCTCTTTGTTAAAATAATTATGGTTATTTTTAGTTATGTAACTATTAAGTATTTTATTGTAGAATTAAAAGCCAACTCTAATTTATAAAATTCTAAAAAAAAAAAATAAGAAACGGAAAAAAGAAAACGAGCAGTGTTGGTATAATAAACCAATTTTTTATGTTTACATACAAGTTTTACTTTGATGCATAAAACTAAGCTTGGAAAAGGTGAGATATGAAGTGTTTTCCTGAAATTACTGAACACAATCGATTTAATTACTAAAAAAAAAAAACAGCCATAATTGCGCAACTATATTTACTCTATTGAAAATGCATATAACAGTTTTTGTGAGAATATTTCTATGTATAGATAGTTTATCTATGCGATTTTATTGAGGTCATTAAAACTTTGTTCTATCCCAGATTGATTACTTAACAAAATGTATATATTTACTTTAAATTGCAAATAAAGAATATTCAAATAATTGCATTGTTCTTATTATTTATTTATGTGTATAATGTGGCAACTCTCGGTTGCACTTTCCTCGGGGTGGCAACTCTGCAAGAGTGCGTTCAGCAAAGGAGCGACATATATATAAGGGGCTTGATGCAGATATCGGTGGTACTTATATACCTCTTTCCCATAAAGCGAATAACGACGAAGTATTGAATACTTCTAAACTTTCAAATTCAAGTTCTTCCAAGAATAAAACTCCTAGTCTTGACAGTGGTCTTGTCATAAGATATTTTTCGAAGTCTACAAGGAAAAAAATATATTTTCTGAGCATATGTAGGTAAGTACAGAGAGAAAAGATTTGTTTTAAGCCAGATATAAAAATATCGCGACAAATATATGTCTATATACGGAAAGTTTACAAAATTAAAAAAAAAACAATAACACTTTTTCGACTCACATTTTACGTTACCCAACACTGTTGTTGTAAATACCTTAAAAAGTTAGAAAATTTTGCTTTTATATATTTTGTATGTGAAAAAATACGTAGCGTGTCACATAATTTTAAAAAGAACTTTATTACTAAGCCATAGTAAGGTTTTTGAAAGAAAAAAGTTTGAAGAATTTGTAGCGTTTACCATCACTGTTGTTTCTAAATTAATTTCTGAATGGAGACTAGGCGAAATGACATAGTAAATTTTTGACAGTTATAAGGCGAATAAATATTATTGTTAAATATTATTTTAGAAATCAAAAAAGCAGTTTTTTTAAAGAAATAATATAACTGTCATTAAATTATTATAGTGAAAACTCACACGAAAGAATTATGAAAATTTTTCATTTCATCATTTTGTTGCTATAAAACAATTGCATTGTTTGGCGTAGATTCTTATATATATATATGTACATATATATAATAATACAAATAAAATCTTCCAACTATTTTTCTAAAAATAAATTTTATTTATGCAGTTTGTTACATGGAAAACGTAAAGTATTTTTAAATTATTGAAGAAATGTTAAAAAAAAATTAAATGAATTCAAACCGCCTTTGAGAGCCTTTTTTAACGAAATACATAACATGTTAAAATAACTTTCAAACTATAATTCTACTCATAATTGATTAATTTAAAAAAAATAGCTTTTAAAAAGAAAAAAACATTTTACAGCACTGCTGAGCCAAGGTAAAAGATTGAGCGTAAAAGTTACATATTTATTTAATTTAAAAATATGAATAAAAAATATTTTAGGTGATGAAATTAGAAGTAAAAGTGCAAATGCATTTTTTTTAATTTTTATTTTAAAATTCATACATTCGAGCCTTGATGTCTAATAAAATTCAAATTGTAAATATGAAATAATTTTATAATTTGTATTATTAAAACCAAAATTTAAAAAAAAATTGTGATTTTTTATTAGTGATGTTATAATTTTCTGTACGAATTAAAAATATATAATGTAAAGTAAACTTTGTTAAACTTTTCAAACTAACTTTTTTCTCTAAAATTTTTTTTAAGCCTGGAAAAAGATTTTATTTTAATTTAAAATAATATAATGCATATTAATATTATATAATGTAATGGAATAGAACGTACATCTTAAAAAGATAAACTTTAAGTGCTTTTTCTGATGTTAAAAGGTTTAATTATCATTAATGAGTTTAGGAATCTACTTCAACATTTGCAACTTGTAATTTTGAACTTTTCATTTTTTAGGTTATTTTCATTTTTGGTTTTCAAATATTTTCATTTTTTAAAATTACTTTGATTTACAAACATAAAGCTTTTGTGATATAAATTTTATTTAAAAAATAAAATATTAAAATTTTTAAGATATATCAATAAATAGATAGTAAATGCAGGAATCTACTTTAACATTTGTAACTTGTTATTTTAAATTTTTCTATTTTTATTAATCAATACATTTAATAATTTTCATTTTCAAACATTTTGAACATTTTTTCATTTTGTGAAATAAATTTTATTTAAAAAATAAAGTATACAAGTTTTTATTAAAAATACATAAATACATAGATATACACATCGATAATAAGCAAACAAAATATATTTAGAATATTAGTTTTTGTATCATGTGTTTAAAATATTTTATTCAAAACTACTAAATTCTTGTTTAATACTTTGTTTATTATTATTATTTTTTAAATAATTATAATATAATGCATAATTTTATTTAAGAAAAAATTATTGTGAAAACTTTACAAAAAGAATTACATATATCCGGATAAGTAGATTGTAAACTTTTATAAACAATAATAAAAAAAATTAAAGTAAAGGTATTGAAATTTCCCACAAATATAGGAATTATAATTTTGCATATATAATTTGTTACTGCATATCATCATATTCTTGTTTTTGAGCTCCATTTACTGTTGAGTTAGTGAAGCGTTTTACAACACTTGGAATACTTGACCAAGGTAAAAGATTAAAAGTAAAAGTTATAAACGCATAAATAAAAATAAAATAAAATAAATTCATACAAATTATTAAAAAGTGTACTAAATCATAATTATTTAACAATTAATTTGTTTTACTTTTTATTTAAAGATAAATACATATTTGTATATGTGTGTTCATAAATATTTAAATTCAAATAATAAAAAGGAAAAGCTTTTATACTTTATAATGTTTAATACCAATATTCTAATTTTGGTAAATTAATTTTTTTATTAATGTAATAAGAATGTTTCTTAGATAAGTTAAAATATATAAGCTACGTTTTTGTTTATGAACGGAGAGTATTAACGGCCAAGGTATTTGTTAATGAAAAATTACAATATCCATATGTACACTTAAAGCTATGTTAAAAATGCAAAATAAATTATTTATATTTCTGTTAAAATATGTAGAATTTTACAATACATTTTACACCTTAATTAGATAAATAACTAAATTCCCAAGCGTAAATTTTTGAAATAATATTAATAAGTAAGAAAACGTAAATTCGAAAATTATATATAATATAAAAAAAACTTGAAATAAAGTATTATAATATTAAAAATTTTTTTAAAGCGTTTTGTTCCAATCTACTAACATTTTTTAAATAATGTTTCGTTTTCATTTTTTGTTTGCTTCAAACTTAAAATAACATAAAGAATGCTTTATATGTAAATTAATTTAAATTTTTTTTCTAATATTTAACTGAACGTTTTTTTTAAATTGTCAAAATTATTTCAATTAATTAATTTGTTTAATACCATTGATTTTGACATTAGCCTAAACATAATAAATAAACTAATTACTTCTTATGTACGACATTTCATCTTAATTTATGCTACGTATATGCACTAATTATAATTTTTTCATTAAAAATATCCACAGAAGAAAGCCTTGACATACGAATAAATGCCTAGCGATATAACCATTAAATGATGTTTAGTGCGGTAGTTTTCATGCTGGCAAATATTAAAAAATATGTAATAAATACAGCATTGTCTCTGAAAAATGCATTTATATGACGTGATTATCAGTTTAGTAATGTCTCAGATTGCAAAGGTCATAATGTACGTCAGTGGTTGTTAACTATGGCTGCACTTGTTCGAGCTTTTTGGAGCAGAATTTATTTTTTATCTGATTATCCGAAATTCATTGCCAAATGAGTAAGATTTATACAAACTATGTGTATTTCAATGCAATTATTCCTTATTTTGTAAAGGAGAATTTACAATTAGTAATTACTATGTGTAAAAGCCATGACAATAATTGGTGTTCCTAGGTGCTTCGGTATGTGCATATGTATGGGTGTGTGTATGTATATGTATACACTAACAAAGTAGAAATTTTCTTATCAACCACAATAAGAGAGCGATAATTTGCAAAAACATATTCTTAAACAAAGTATAATGAAAAACAGCTTTAGAGTCAAAATATTAAAAATAGCACCCCTTGAAAGTGCAGCTGACAGATTTTAGAAGTCAGTGGGGTAAATAAGTCAACTTATTACACGTCGTTGTCGGCAAACAACTAAATTTTTTTCCTAAATAAGTTGTCATCTGATTAATAATATAACAAAATTCCAAATTAAAAAAATTTATTTTTGACTTAAAAACAAAGAAAATATGGATGTATTAGTGTTTGGTTCAGCGATTGTTGACTTCATCTCGTAAATATACACCCATATTTGTACATTTATTAAATTACAATTCTAATATCATCAAAATCTTACATCTAGCTACGCGAATCGATTACCCAAAGCTGGTGAGACGTTGCATGGTGACAAATTCTCAACAGGATTTGGTGGCAAGGGAGCAAACCAATGCGTAGCCGCAGCTCGATTAGGTGCAAAAACTGCCATCATAACAAAAGTTTGAGAAATATATTTTTTAAATAAAAATATGCGTTTTGTGAGTTAAACAATTATATTTTCTAGCTCGGGGAAGATTTGTGGGGTGCAAATTACTTAGAACAACTGCAGTCAGAAAATGTGAATGTAGATTTTGTTCAAAAATGCCAAGGACAGGTAAGGAAGTAATTGCTGTTTAAATAAATGTATACAAATTTATTTATGTCTGATAATAAACAGACCACCGGCATTGCGCAAATTTGTGTAGCTGATAGTGGCGAAAATCACATAGTAATAGTGGTAGGAGCAAATAATTTACTTAGTTCCGAGGATGTCAAGCAAGCAAAGAAACTGTTTGAAACTGCAAAGGTAAGTTGGTTGATTTTCGAAAAGATTTTCATTCATATTTACATGTACATTAGATACTTGTTTGCCAATTCGAGACACCACTGAATGCAACTTTGGCAGCATTGCAAGCCTTTAAGGGTATTTCTATTTTAAATACAGCTCCGGCACGGAAAAATACGCCTTCAGAATATATAAAGGCAGCTACCATACTATGCCTAAATGAAACTGAAGCTGCTTTAACAACGGGAATGGATAAAGTAACAACTCTATCGTATGTATAAACTTCTTTGGCCTAATGCTTGGTATATTGAAAATATTGTTTGTTTATAGGCAAGCAAAAGAAGCCATGGAGCATCTGCTTGAGATGGGCGCCAACAATGTGATAATAACCTTGGGTGCACTTGGTGCGGTTTATGTCCGATCTGACGAGCCCGAAATGTTTATACACGTATCAGCATTTGCAGTAGATAAAGTTGTGGATACTACTGGCGCAGGTGATGCTTTTATAGGGGCTTTGGCGTACAACTTAGCACAGTATCCTGATTTGCCTTGGCATCAATTAATTGGTGCGGCGAATCAAGTTGCTGCATACTCCGTAATGCATCCGGGAACACAAACAAGTTTTCCAAAAGCGAATGAAATTCAAAAAGTTGCGGTATATGCTTGGAGTGAAATATGAAAACTAATTTAAAAAACGTGGTTATTTACTTAATTTTTTTATTTACAAAAATTTATTAAATAAAATTTTATTTAATTTGGTAAAATGGTTGTGTAGCATTGTGTGACGATAGGACAAATATTTATTATTATAAATGACAGTATCATTTCTTTCCCGATTTCTTTATACCTCCGCCAACCAAAGGACCTTTCTGTGTCGCACGTTGTTTTGCTTGTTCCAGCGCTTTCTGTGCCTCTTTCTGCTTTTGCTTGAAGGCAATTTCATCATCATCCATCTCTTTTGATTCCTTTTTGGGTGCCTTCAGTGGCTTCTTCTTTCCACCCTCACGACCAGACATTTTACTGCAGATTTACTAAAATTAATAGGTTTTATTTAATATGTGAGACCTACTATTTAGAAGACGACACGTTTTCTTTAATACAAATAAACAATGACTATAAAAATGTTTCTAAATTTACCTCACTCGTGCACGCAAGCTAATACAGGCGAGCAACCAAATATTTTTCTTGTGATTTTTGACGTTTTATTGACAAATTTAAGATGTACCTCTAGCATAGTTATCGATTATCAGTACACTTGCGATTCATCGTTTCAAATAAGTTTAAACGTTGAGATATTGCTTTCTTTAGTAAAAAGAAAGTAGTTCATAATGTAACGTTTAACCCAAAGTTATATAAATGTGGCTATGCAATTTAATGCGGTCATTTCGAGAAACTTTACGTTTCCAAATTTAACTAGTATAGTTTTTGACTTTTTTTCAACTTTAATTTTTTCTATCAAAAAGTTAAATATCTTAACATAAAATATTACCAAATTTGCAGATAGCTGATGTGATTTTTGCGCCGCATTGCTTGACGGATCGACTTTGACGTCTAAGATACTCTACAAAATTTCCCTCATCAGAAACACTTAACCGAATTATAATGGATAGCTTCAAAGAAGTTTAATAATTACTTGATATAACAGAATTTGAGTCTTGGTTTTTGTATCGCTGAATTTACGTTTTTTGCTCACAGTTTTAATTCCCATATGCTTTAAGGGGGGCTGCGTAACAGATTGACTTTGACATTTTCCTCACAAGCAACGCTGGCGCAATTGCAACACCGAAAAATGGCCATCTATCATATATTATATTTTTGTGCGTTGATCATTAACTGGTTTTGACTATATGGCTAATACGCGCTAACTAATGACAGTTGACGTTAGACGTCAAAGTAAATATGTTACTTAGCTTTGTGTAAATCTATTTTATTGCCTCTTGATTCTCGAATCATAAATGCAAGCTTCATGTTAGTAGCTTGACACTCTGTGTTACTAAGTTTTAGTAGCACAGGATGACTGAAAGAATTGGCATTTAATTTATCGGACCACTTCCATACGTTCCATAAATTTGCACGGCTACGAGTACGATCGTATTCGGGACCATCTTCGTTTTCGTTCATTTCAAGTGTAACCGCACGAGCTCGAGCACGCGACTTGTCAGCGCCGAGTGGGAAAATCTGATATTCTTCAAAAGAATTTTTTACTGTGTCTCTTTTGTAAGAAGTATACAAAGCTAAAAGGTATTGTACATTTTCATATATAATTTTTTAATTTCAATGCAAAATATAATGATTTGAAGTGCTATTACAAAGAGTGCATGAATAAAAGTACATTTGGTGGACCGGATGATGATGAAACGTTAAATCGTCTCTACTGCTTACTTGTGTGTGCCATTGATTTTTTCTCTGAATACGAACTACTGTCACCACTTTTCTTGGCAGTTGGTTATGTAACGAACTTTTTTAATTCGCAAAATTGACTACTCGTATGTCTAAAACTAATAAAATATAGTTCTATTAATTAATTAAATGGTGATTTGGACAACGATACCTATAGAAAATTTGAAAATTGAATGAATTTATATGATATTTAGTACATGTCAATTCGCTACTTAATTAACTATAAGATTGGGAGCGGTGACAGTATCGTGTGTATGTGTGTACAAATGTAGTAAATCCACCCCTTTACCCGTCATTTGCGATAGACGTGTGTCCATAATCGAGAAAAGTGTGCGCCAGTCACAAGGTAAACTTTCACACTCGCAATTCCATTCTCATAATTCCTAACCTAGAAATGTTGGAACAAAAATAATCCAACAATTTCTGAATTTGTAAACTGCAATGTAGCGGCGAGAACATTGTTAGTGTATTGTTATATGAACTTTGCGCGATCATAATGTGCTTGTATTCGTAGACTCTTCAAACAGCTAGCAGCAAGTAGCCAACTTGGCAGCCAGCGAAGCAACTGGGACACAGATGTAGGGCAGCAATGAAAAGAGATTGATTCGTCTTTCAGTGTGATTTTCAGCATTACTCATACTCTCTTTCAACTAAAATACAACTACAAAATTCTCTTCGTATATCAATATGTGTATGCAGATTTGCGCTCTTCAACTGAATTTTACCAAAAATTTCAAATTATACTTGGCTCGGCAAAATTATTACACAATTTTTCATGTACTCTTTTTTTGTTCTTGGAATTCAGTAACATCGTAAACTCAGTTAAATTTTCAAAAACAATTACTAGCAAATATATCGAAATTCCTACTGACCCCACTGCTGGTCTGCTTATCAATAAAAAATAATCGTATGTAGGTAAATGCAGATATATGTATGTACATATCTCCATGCATACGTACTTAAAATCATTTGGGCAGCCTTTTGCTCATTATACTATGTACCCTGTTTGCTTATATACATATATATATGTGTATGTATACACACGAATTCATACACAAAATAATAAAATTTTGTTGTGTCTACTACGCCTTAAATTATATTTTTGCCATTACAATTGTATTGTATTGCAAAAAGTGCAATGCAATTGTACACGATCTGGAAATGTTTGGGCTGCTTTAGAAACATTGAGCTCTTATATACAGACAATTTGTAGATAGTCATGCTTAATTGTCCCTACCTGCTATTTCGTTAAACAGCTGCGGTCGACGAGGGTCAAAGGTGAAATTTTCTTTTAATTTTTTTTCTTATTATTTTTTATGTCTGGATATAGTAGTATAGTTTGAAGCAAAGTGGTTGAAACTGGTTTTTTTCCTCTGAAATAAGTGACAATAGAGGGTAGTTTAATTTTTGGAGTCTGTAACTTCAATGATTGCAGACATAAGTATTTACAGACATACATACGCACATACTACATACATACAAACCTACGAATCCAAACCACGAATTCAGTTATTATTATTTTTTTTGCAAGATGCGCTTTATTAGTAACTTTTTTTATGAAGAGATATTTTGAGTAGTTTGAGTTTCGGATTGCGTGTGTACAAATAATCATAAGGAATATCAACTATCAACGCCATTAATTGATTATTGTATTTGTTTGTTGTTGTAAACGACTTTCATTAATTCACTTCTATGAGTGCCACTTGTTGACCGCATCATTTTGTGGGAATGTTTTGAAGTGAAGCTATTTGCTCTACACACATATTTAAAAAAAAACACAATTTGTTTATTATTTATAAACAAACGAAAAATAATGTAGTGTACATGGTGACGCCTAACTTTTACTTTCGCCATTTAATGTTTAGTTTACTTAGTTTCTAGGTATCAGTTTGAGATATTTGTTTTTGTATAGTAATTTATAAATTCTAATTCAAGTGTCGAAAGAATAAAAATTAATTTTTACGTGAATTATTTTAATAATAGTTAGGTGCACTAATAAATATTTCAGAGAGTGTTTAGTAAAGCATTAGTTGCTAAATGCAAATTATTAAAGTAAAAGTTTCCCAAATAAATAAATAAATAAAATTTAGAATTGAAATTTTTTTTTTTCATTCTCTTCGTTGCAATATATAGTACGTTTATGTGGTGCAACACTATTGATCATTCGCCACGCACCTTGTTCTCGATCCCCATTGCCAATATTTATTTAGCCTTCGGTGTTTTATCAATGTTAATGGACCACTTTCTATCGTTCCCATGCTTGGGACCATTTAAAAAATGCGCATCGATTGTGGATTGTTTATTTAATTTTATTTTATTATAATGTGGCAACTTGCCAAATAAAATTGCAGATTGGTAATGCAAAAATTTTCTCTCCGAAACATCATTGTAAGTTGGTCAAGTAGAATATTTTCAATGGCATGTTAATGAATGTGAGTGAATTCGTATTTGTACATGTATATACATACGAGTATGTATGTGTACATTCTCTTTACTCCAGCAGTGAGGGAAATGTGCTTCACAAAAACCGGTTCTAGTTGAGTTCGTTGGCTTTTTACAATACGTTGCTTTTGAAGAGTAAACTCAGCAAATTTCAAAATATAAAATTTAAAAATTATGCCGGTCTTCCAAAAAAAACTTTATAGAGTTAAAAAGCTAATTTTAATAGTAAAGTAAATTTAAAGTAGTAATTTTTTAAGTATTGTATATAACATTAAATTGAAGAAAAATAATAAATTAATAAATATATAAAAATAAATAAATAACTGAAATTTAAGCATCGATTGATGTTATCGGAGAAATATATCGTTTCAGCAATGCTTTTGCTATTAAGCTTCGTAAACGTAAGTTTAACAAAAAAATACATATACAGCTGATATAAACAACATGTGACTGCATAAATATAAAAAAAATTGAATATTGTAGAAAAAATTATATTTCGACCAGTAAAAGCTCTTGCCATACTGTTAACATTGAACCGCTACCGCAACAGCAACAACACAAATTAATATACAAGTAGCACATATGTTCATTTATGTGTATGTACATTCAATTCACAAATTAGCTGACCGTGAAATTTTGAATCTTTAGCACTTTTTAATGCGTGATAGCCACGCACATTTTTTTTTATCTTATCACACTAACTGCGAGTTACAGACGCCCCAAGTAGTTATGTAATAGAAATTTAATTAATATTAGAAAAAATCGTAAATAGTTCAGCTCCCCACTCATATTTATGTATGTATTTATATATGTATGTACATAAAACTAGCGTTAACAAGTTAAAATTATTAGCTTTAATTCTCATAATTTTCTAGATCTCTATGTTGTTTGTATGTGAATATGATTCGGTGGTCATATGCGTCGGACTTTAACATCTATATTAGATACATACATACATAGATTTGTGTACATTAAATATAACACACGCTTTCTTGACGTAGAGATATGAAGATATTTAGTTGGGTATAATCTACGAATGTTTGTATGTATTATTGATATACGCAAGTGTTACGTCAAATACAGAAATTTCATATACGAGACGATCACATGCCCCTAAGCGCCCTAAACACACCAAAGATATATTTATGTATGCACATATGTATGTATATTTGTAGAAATGAGTTTATTCTGTTGCTACTTGGATAGAGAAATTCACTTCTTAATTCTCTACTAAGTTAATCTCTATATATATACATACATACATATTAATATAAGTATTTTTCTTTGCTTTCTGAGTAATTTCCTTTTCTTCTCGATACTGCATTTTTGCTCAATCAACGATTACGTAAATTTTTAACATCACAAAGGTAGCAGGGAATAGAAAAACGTAATACTTCTTATCATTCAGTACTTTTTTTTTATCCACAACCAATTTTACCAACACATCTATATAGATTGCTTTCGGTGAGACATCTGCTCAGCTCAGCGGGGCTGTTCGCACCCACAAACGGACCTATAAATGATTTGACAAAGAGTAGAAAGAAAAAAAAAATTTCCTAATTGCGGCCAAAGACAATTCACTACAGTGTTTTGTTTTATAAAATTTAATTTAATTTTAGCTCAATGTCAATATATTATTGTTTAAATACTGTAAAAGGTATTATGTAATATTTCGTTGTACTTGTATGTTGACATTGAGTAAAAAACGCGCTGCTTTTTGGCAGATACCAATTGGACATGCACATACATACATACATACATACATAAAACAAAGTGAAAAAACTCTGTGCCCCAAAGGCAGCTGAGCAAAACTTTTTTGTAGAAAATCAGCGAAATGAGAGAAGAAAATTTTGTTGTTTTCCCTTAGCTTTTTAAAATTTTTGCTAACCACTAATGATCGTGAAAAGCCATTTTCATGGTTGCCAACCCGCTAGGTAACGCGAAGAAATTTGTTTAGAAAAGCTTTACGTTACAATTGCGATTATTTGTATGTATGTATGTTGGTATGTAAGTTTTCAACGTCACTCGCGCATTGTATACACACATACATATGTTTGTGTATGCGCGTGTATTTTCATCAAATTTCACGCGCTCATTCACCATACCTATGTTATAAAACCAAAGAAGATGCCAATGTCTTTTCGGCGTTGGCCTTCATATCGAGAAACCGTAATACAACTATGTATATATGTATATATAATAGAATAGAAGTGAGTGTAAAGAAAAGCTCAATTGCTTACACTCTCGATGCTTCGCCCCCAGTCGAAAAATTTTTAGAGAAAGCGCAGGCGTTCCTTTAGTCATTTGCTCACTTCCGTGCGTTGGCTCTCGCTCACCCTTTAACTAGCGAGTGGGGTTGTAGAGAGCTTTTGTTTTTTGTTTTTGCTTTATTGAGCTTTTAAGTTTTGGGCTCCACTCAACGTTGCTATGTAGAATTTCGATTTTCCATAAGCAATTCAGCGGCCGTTCGGTGCAGACCTAACTTTACGAGAAGGAAGAAGTGGGCAATAGCAATTAACAAATTTTTGTTACTGTGATAAATTATACAAAAGCAAATAGTACGTAGTAACAGCTAAGTTTAGTTTATAGTTGATAAAAAAAAATAATAATTAAATTAAGTACAAATAAAATAGTAGTGGCAAGCAGCGCTTAAATAATACAATTCGAAAATTAAAGCCTACTCTTTGCTTTTAAATGTGTGTTTGTGCTAAAATAAGAGTATGCAATGGCAAAGCGTGTGAAAATTATCTAATATCGAAAACCGATACAATAAATTAGCAGAACAGCTTTGAATTAACTAATTGGAAAAAAAAAGTTATTGATATCGATAGTGAGTTGTTAAAAGAGTGGCTTGATTAAGTGAATAAGCATGCAATTTTGATGTAAAACCAATCGACTACATAAATTCATATGATATTGAAAAATTTCTACGGCTCGAGGCAAAGAACATGTTATGCAACCATAGAGCCAACAGCAGCAGTAGTATAAAGCGGCAGCAGCGGCGCTGGTGAATGTAGTCGTTCGCACGCGAAGATGGTCGTTCGTTTCATACGGTCGATCATCGTTCCAATATTTGCTCGGCGTCTACTTTCATACATTACTCGTACTCTGCATACATAATGCCAACAACACACAAATCATCGTCGTCTGAGCTCGTATTGATAAAAAAAAATGCATGCGGCTTATGTAATAAAACAGTTATTTTACATGCACCAATATCTGCATGAATGAAAAATGGGTTGCAATGACCAAAAAGCATCATAAATGGAAAACATAAAACGAGTAGCTTTTGAGATTTTTTTTTAGAATTCACTGTTCGTTAGTCTAGTCTTTTAGGTCTTTTATTGTTCTATGCATTTTTATCTATTTTCCAACTATTGATCGATTTTTTTGTTTGTGTTCGCCACGTGCCATGGTCCTCAAGCTACCGTTGTGTGTTTGTATGTAGGTAAATTCAATGCGGTAACACAATAATATATGTATGTACAATACAATAGTATTGCTGACGTACAATACTTATATACATACGTACATATATGCAGTGACCATATGAATGTGTTGACACATTGGCATCATACATACATACACTTAAGAATTCTTAAGAACCACTTTTTACGTTATTAAAACGCGGCCAATAGCACAATGCCGTTGAGTACATTTGAATGTGCGTATACATATACATATGTGTAATTATAGGCGTCTGTATGTTTGTGTGTATCCATTTGCACTTGAACTATTAGATAATACTCAGGGCGGCGCTATGCGTATAAGTAACTTCAACTGTTTATCTAAAGGATAGCTAAAACTAAAAACGGAGGCTGTGGGGCGTATGAGTAACATAAATGAATTTTTCTGTTTTATTTTTTCGGAGAGTAGAATGATTTGTTTTTTTTTTTTCGAGAGTACATCCATTATACAATAATTTGATGCTAATTTTCCTCGCAGTTGGCTTCATAGCTAGCTGAAATTGAAAAGAAAATAGAAAAATTTTTAAATAAAAAATACAAATTTTATATTTGGGAGAATTTTAGCTTTTGTTTTTTAAACGTGATTTGATATTCAAAATTAGTTGAAAAATCATGTATTAAATTTTGCGACCCTGACAGTTGTTTTAAGAAAGTATCAAAAAGCGAAGAGTTTGAGCCACCAAAATTTAAATCGGTTTCACATAGATGAGGAGATTTCGCTATGTCTGCTCGTCTGTTTGAAGGCAAGCCAATCTAACAGTTTTGTGAATACAATATTTTAACGAAATTTTGAAAGCAGACAGAATATTGTTTAATTATTATTTTTTTTTTTGTTTTTGAAAGTGCAGCAACTTGTGTTGGTATTAAAAATATAATAACTTCGTTAAATTTTTTTCAAAAATATAAATTTTAATCCGCTATAAATCGAACGTTCAGAGAAAAAATTAAGCTTTTTTATTGCAGCTTTTATTACTCTCAACGCATCTCATTATTAATAATTTTTATGCGATTTTTTATTATTGAAATTAAAATAATTACGTATTTATTGATATTCAAATTGAAACTTGAAATGTATATTTGTAACAATTATGTTATTAAAAATGTAATATACACTAATTGGCTTTCTCGAAGACCATATTCTCATGTCATCCTACATTTATGTGGTTCAAAATAAAGCCAAAAGCAATTTTTGTAACGACGGTCTCTGAATATCTTGATTTTGTGATAATTCAGTAACTTTTACGTGCAATTACAAAAAAAAAAACCAAGTAAAATATGTTTATAGTGAGTTTGTAGTTGTGAAAAAGCTAAGTTTTGAAGTATACGTCGCACGCTCAAGCCTAGTAACAGTTTTTAAGCTAGATAATATAAATACATATACAATATTACGAGCATCTTTGAAAATTTTAAATAATTATGAAGGAAAAACCAAAAAATATGAAAGTAAAATAATTGGCTTTCACTATAATGTACATATATATTAATATTTTTTTCTAAAATTAAATTAAATTTTGAAAATTAAATGTTAAAATTCAATTATAAATAACATTACAAAAATAGAAAAAGAATAAAAATTATCAGCAAATTCTATGAAATTCCACAATTTGCGCGATTCGTTGCGCTTGTGAAAAATAACTTACATTAAAAAATGTGCTTATATTTATTTATATTGACATGTTTTTATAGAGTTTTATTTATATAAATACCTGAATATGTATGTACAAACAAACATTATTTTATCTTAACAAATTTAAAAATTTTTTCAAGGTCTCTTTGGTCATTCACAGCATTTTTTTTTCTCGTTGTGAATGCATAATCAATTTTATTAATTCAGTCGCCTTTCATTGTTTGCCAAATGCATTTGCTAAATATATTTTCTTTACACATCCAAGTTTAGCATATACAAAATTCGAACAATATTTGAATTAAAAAAAATGCGATCTAAAGAGTTGAAAAGAAAATATGTACATATGTACATTTAAAAAATTGTATATTTGTTAAAAAAAAAAAAATATTCAATAGCAAACCAATTTTATAAGGAAATATAAAATGAGCTTTTTTGAAGCAATTAAAATATCAATTAAAAAAATATAACTATTTCTTTCTAATAAAAAATATGGTTTTATGATTTTATGATTAAAATTAATCAGTATAAATTAATTACATAAAAACAAAAAGCATTAAAGCATTTTTGTTGTTTTACCTAATTATTTACTCGTTGCCAATTTTAGCTGCTTTCTTTCTTAAATTTATTTTTGTTTTTCTATCACATAATAAATGAATTGAAGAGTATACTCGTATGTATATGTATCTATGTTTATAAATACTATATACAACTGCTCTTGAACGTTGGCTAATTTGCCTTTGTACTCGGTGCTTTTATGCAATGAATTCAATTAACTTTTTTCTTTCATTTTGAAGATAAATAATAAACATTTTCTGCATTTAATATTATAATTTATGATCAAAAAGTTATAAAAATTAATTTTAAAAGTGAATAATGCTAGAATTTTGCAAAATTAAGGATATTTCTGAATGTTTATAGTATGTATGTATGTTTGTTCATAATTAATTTATTATTAATTCACGTTTTACAAATAAAAAAACTTCTATTAAAATTCGATATTGAGTAAAAATCAAGTAACAAATGAGAATTTATATTGCATTACAGTTATTGTAAATTCTACCATCGTTTATTAGAAAATTATTCGTAGCGAATACTATTGTAGAATTAATATTTGTATGAATTTTTGGAAGTTTTTTCTACTTTTCTATTGCATTTACTCATACATTTACAAAGAATATACATGAATGCTGCACGTATAGAATCATCAACCACGTGCTCTTGAATGATACCAGAATTTTCAGCTTTGACGGCGCAATATTGATGCCAACTGACTCTGACTCACGCTTAGCAACGAGACTGAACTTCAATAAACTAGTTTCGGTTGAGCCACTTTTTCAGTTGCGATTTAGGTTGATTTTTCTTTGTACGTACACACATACATACATATGTACGTGTATGAATGCTTATCGCGAAAAAGTACCACTGAGCGATTGTGAAGCGCGTGTCTCGCATGGCGTGTCACTTATTAATTATGTATGTATGTAGGTTTGTATGTATGTAGGTTTGTATGTATGTAGGTTTGTATGTATGTATGTCTGTATGTTTGTATGTATGTCATAAAAGTCGCGCACTTCACTGTTATCAATATGCGGAATTCAAACTTGCCAAGTAATTGCGTGCTTGCCATGTGCAGATCTATTTTTAATTAAAAACCTCGATCACTTTTTAAGTGAAATAATTTATAAAATTATTTATTAATGATTTTTTTTTTGTTTGAATTTTTATTTTAATTGCAGCATAATGGGCAAAGAAGGTAAAACTGCTGATCCTCTGGCTTTCGTCAAAGATTTCGCCGCTGGTGGTATCTCCGCGGCCGTCTCAAAGACGACTGTTGCACCCATTGAGCGTGTGAAACTGTTGTTGCAGGTTCAACACATCTCAAAACAAATCAGCCCCGATAAGCAATACAAGGGCATGGTTGATTGCTTTGTCCGCATTCCAAAAGAACAAGGTTTTATGTCATACTGGCGTGGTAACTTGGCCAACGTTATCAGATACTTCCCAACCCAGGCTTTGAACTTCGCCTTCAAGGATGTGTACAAACAGGTGAGTGTTTTTCGATTAACCATTTTGAGTTCTTTTTTTGTCGTCATATTAAAAAATAACTGCAATTACTTAATGAAATTTTGTCGTTTTTATTTTTTTTTGTAGGTTTTCTTGGGTGGTGTTGACAAGCACACTCAGTTCTGGCGTTATTTCGCGGGTAACTTGGCCTCCGGTGGTGCTGCTGGTGCCACTTCATTGTGCTTCGTCTACCCATTAGATTTTGCCCGTACCCGGTAGGTTTTAATATATACGATTATTTTTTGATTTCTTTTACATTGAACCGTCAAGAGATTAGAATTTTTTTCTTTTTTTTTTGTGAAAAGAAAAGTTTTGCTATAAAAAAAATATTCACAATGTTATATAATTTAAAACTAAAATCTTTTGCCAAGTTTGGTACTATTTTATTGGCTGGTTACTGTAAAATATCAAGTTCTTTTCTAAAAAGCAAATCACTATTTCATTTATTAATGTTATTCTTTTGTATGCGCTGCTTATAGTTTGGCTGCTGATGTCGGTAAGGGTGGTCAACGTGAATTCACCGGTCTTGGTAACTGCTTGGCCAAGACATTCAAGAGTGACGGTCTCGTCGGTTTGTACCGTGGCTTCGGTGTCTCCGTACAAGGTATCATTATCTACCGTGCCGCCTACTTCGGCTTCTACGATACTGCCCGTGGTATGTTGCCCGATCCTAAGAACACACCCATCTACATCAGCTGGGCTATTGCTCAAGTTGTTACCACTGTTGCTGGTATTGTGTCCTATCCATTCGATACTGTCCGTCGTCGTATGATGATGCAGTCTGGCCGCAAAGCAACCGAAATCATCTACAAGAACACACTGCACTGCTGGTCCACAATTGCCAAGCAAGAAGGTACTGGCGCCTTCTTCAAGGGTGCCTTCTCCAACGTACTCAGAGGTACTGGTGGCGCTTTCGTGCTTGTATTGTACGATGAAATCAAGAAGGTCTTGTAAAGTAATTAACACCTATTATTACTACCTAATTGAGCTAAAACAATTATTTAATTTAAATATTAAAATAAAAATGATAAAGTATCAACAACAACAACATACACATAAAAGCAGTTACCATACATTATTGAATTAAGCGATATTAAATAAATGTAAAAGAAAACACACATAAGGTTGCAAGCAACAACAACACGATGATAGAGCGAAAAATAATAACCAACAACAGTGATTCAGCAACAGCAACAAAATTATGATGAATAATTTTTAGTAAATGTTCATTCACAAATAAAAACGGAAAAGTTAAAAATACAAAAATTAATAAAAATTGTAAAACAGTATTTCATTTCACTAATACCAAAGAACATTACTTAGAAGGTTTACCTGGTTACCTGGTTTACCCTCATGCCCCCTCAAACCTCAAACTTAGAAGGTTTTTCGAATATTTGACCAAATCATCCAACATCCCCCATACCACAGTTGTGAAGTAGCTCTTGTTTGCTTGGTATAAGAAATTGCGATTTTGTTGTATTTCATCTTTAGATCGGTCCTTTGCAAATAATAGCCTTGTTGTTTTTTCTTGCCATGGATTCTAGATCTATGTTACTATGGATGTAAACCGGGCCTTCTTTCTATATATAATTAGGTTATTTTATATGGATATAGGAAAAACAAGATGAAGTAAATCGATAGTATGCCACCGATGCATACCCGCCGGTGGAAGCAAAGGAAGTGAAAGACCTCCAATCCGTCGCGTAAGCGGTGTCTGCGCCAATAAAGTAAGTAAGCAAGTAAGTATGCCACCGGGAGCGGTGAAATTCAGAATATAGGAAACAGTTGATACTAAACAGTGTGGAAAAAGGTTACAGGAAATCGGAAATTAAGAAGTGATAACAAGAAATGGCAAACCGGATAGAGGAAAAAGAGGAACCGGAAGTTGTAAGCTTAGAGCGGAAATCGAATTCGAATTATAGTAAAACTACATGTTGGATGAACCGGAATTTCAAAACACATTAAAAGTGGAGATTACAAAGCGAACATAGCAAATGACTTAGGATCCAACGGAAGTATAAATACTGTACTTTATAAAATTGACTCTTTGTTATCTCTGAAGCGATTTTCGGCCGAGCTCTTCCTCCAAATAGTGGTTTTGCTTCCTGATGTATTTCAAGCACATTGAATACAAATTACAACCCAGATGTACCAAAAGTAGGTTAATGTATATAAAATTTCAGATATTTGATCCCGGAAATGTGTTACTGGTTACGAAGAATAAACAGTATCGATGACCCTGTGCGAAGAACATATGAAATTTGATAACGATGATTAGAAACGGAATAGACAAACTGGAAATTAGAAGATAAAATGGAATACAGGAAATAGACAACCGAGTACAGGTGAAAGTGGAAAACTAAACACGTAGAAAACAGATAGTAGTAAATTCAGGCAAAGGCACAAGATGTATACTTCTTCTTTGCTGGCGTAGACACCACTTATGCGATTATAGCCGAGTTGACAGCATTGCGCTACAAAATGCATAGAATAGAATGGTGCGATGAGTCGCATATTGTAAGGGTGAAAAGGTCACATTGAGTTGAAGTGGGTGTGTAAATATCCATTTTCAGGTTCCATAGACGTGAATCGATATTTTTATGGCATAACTTTTATAGTCATTTAACATGTACCGAAGTGCATATAAAAATAAATGCCAAAAAGAAATTCTTTTGTGACATTCACTTAAAATATTTTTCGTTGTAAAGCTTTTAATTTTCAAATTTACGTTATTTTAAATCGTCTGCTTTGAATTCTCAAGCATTTATCGAATATTAAAATGAGTGAAGGTGAAATAAAATCAGATTTATCAGATCCAGTAGGATTTCTTAAGGATTTCATGGCCGGTGGTATATCGGCGGCTATTGCCAAAACTGCAATGGCACCCATTGAACGTGTCAAATTGATTCTACAAGTTCAAGCCATATCGAAACAAATTTCGACTGAAAAGCAATATAAAGGAATGATTGACTGCTTCGTAAGGATTCCTAAAGAGCAAGGTTTTCTCTCTTTGTGGCGCGGCAATTTAGCTAACGTCATTAGATACTTTCCAACTCAGGCATTGAATTTTGCCTTTAAGGATAAATACAAACAGGTTAGGAAAATAAGCAGTTTTAGGTTATAATATTGTAAGTGCTGTATCGAATTATAAATTTAATATAATTCAAAGATCTTTCTGAGTGGAGTAAATAAAAAGGAGCAGAAGGGACGTTACTTTTTGGGAAACTTGCTATCTGGTGGTGCTGCGGGTGCTACATCTTTAATTTTTGTTTACCCATTAGATTTTGCGCGTACCCGGTAAGTACTAACTGTGAATCATTATGGAACGGAATGTTTTCCATCAGTGGTGATTGCTTATTATTGATATAATAAATTTCTTTATTTATTTATTATAATTTTTAATTTCATTTAAGCTTGGCTGCTGATGTTGGAAAAACCGGGCAGCGAGAATTCAATGGACTACTTGATTGTTTGGTGAAGATATTTAAAAGTGATGGGTTCATCGGATTGTATCGTGGTTTCATTGTTTCTGTACAAGGAATTATTATGTATCGTGGCGCATATTTTGGTTGCTATGACACAGCGCGCGAGCTAATGCCAGACCCAAAGAACTCACCGCTATGGCTTAACTTTTTGATTGCGGAAGCTGTAACTACTTTTGCGGGCATAGTTTCTTATCCATTTGATACAGTACGGCGCCGTATGATGATGCAGTCCGGCGTGAAATCAGGAGAGCGCATTTATAAAAATACAGCACATTGCTGGTTAGTTATTGCTCGGACAGAGGGACCATTGGCCTTTTTTAAAGGCGCATTTTCCAATGTAATACGAGGTACAGGTGGAGCTCTAGTTTTGGTTATGTATGATGAAATTAAAAAGTTAATGAATTAAAATATTTTTTTTTTATGAAATTGTTTACATAACTCAATATTGATATTATAAAATAATTCGAGTTATTAAGTTTTGACTATTATTATTTTATTGTATTATGCATCTGTCTGTTCTCGATATATAAATATAAAATATTACTTGTTCATATTAAATTATTTTAATTTATTAAAACAAGTATGTTTGTTTTTATTAATTTACCATTCACTTCTTAATTATACACATATTCATGTTAAAAACAATTTCATAAAATAAATATAATTGTTTAATTGTGAAAAGACTAGGTTTGAGCCTTACTTCTATTCATAATTAGATAAATAAGTGGTGCAAAATATTTGAAAGATAAGGATAGTTAAACACTCCACTATTTATTAATTTTCTTTATTTTAAAATTTTTCTCACGGTCAAAGACGGTATATTAATTTACGTTCTTGGTCACGGTTGACGAATTCAAGCGATTCGTCGATATTCATGTGAGCCACACAAATTTTAGAATATATCGATATTGTTACGATTTTACTAAATCAACCTCGATGATTTCCTAAATCCTTCGGGTACGATCTCTGGATTGTTAAATAAAACTCGCCAACTTAATCTGCAGTTTCTTTCGTAATAAAGATTTTATCTAATGTCCTTTATTTACTCCGTAATACACAATTCACTTACAAGGCACTTTACTAGCTACAATCACTTGCATAAACTTTCACCATTTACTCTACTTAAATGTAATTCCCAACGCGTTCACTTTACGACTTCACTGATGTTAACGCCAACGAGTTCACTTTATCACTAACTTGACTTGCAGCTGAGTGTCGCCTTTATATAGCAGTCGGCTGCTCGCAGACGAAAGCGTAGAAGCATCGAATTGTTCGCTATGGAAGGTTCTTGTTTTATCGTTTCTAGAACGTACTAGTTATCGGCTTCTCTCTTTCATCTGACATTCGCCTCGCATTTTCGCAACAATATGAATTAATCGAAATCGGTTCACCTGCAAAAACAGCTGTGCGGTGCGTGTGAGTTGAGTTGGTGTGTTAATTCAGATAACTTTTTTTTATAATAAAATAACCGATATTTACAAAAGGTTATATTAAAATTGTTGAAAAAATGCTGGGCAGACATTCATTGAAACTTCCACGGCTGACTAACATGTGTGTGGCCTACTCTACTGCTGCCGCGGAGGCGTCGGTGGAGCAACTATACAATCGGCCAAAATTGACATCAACTGATTACCGCACAGCCGAGAATAATACCAAACAGCATTCAGCTGTTCATGAGGGAAAATTTTACACACTCTCGCCAGAACAAAAGAAGCAACTCTTTAGCGGCGGTGGGCTTCCTCGTCAATATGAACAGCAGATCAAAACATTTACAGAAGCCTGCCTAATGGTGCGACCAACCAGTTTGGAATTACTGAATTATATTCGTAATACGGATTTCACACGGCCTGTGGTACGCTATGTACTTTACGGTGAAAATGGTGTTGGAAAGACACTAACAATGGCGCATGTATTACATTATGGTTTACAAAACAATTTTGTACTTGTACATGTACCATGGGTACCGAATTGGATGAAACGTCCTAAGGAGACTGTGAATGCTACTACACAAGAGGGCTTCATTGATTTGCCTTTTGATGCAGCCGCTTGGTTAGTGCACTTCAAAACACAAAACGCAAACCTACTTACACAACTACAATTGAAAACAAGCAAGGATTATGTATGGACTAAAAGAGAAGCCACACCAGCTGGATCGACATTATTGGAACTGGTAGAGCATGGTATTGCGCGTATTAAATTCGCATCCGAAACTATAGCTGCTCTATTATCCGAACTGAAGCAGCATGCTAATGATGATAAGTGCAAAATTATGGTGGCAATTGATGGCTTTAATGCATTTTTCCATCCAGAGACACGCATCTTGGGTGATAACAAGCAACGCATAACACCTGATCGTGTCACACTGACACAGCCCTTCTTGGATATTACCAATTACAATTGGAAGAATGGTGTATGCGTTTTGACGGTGGATAAAATCGGAATGACTGAAGGCTATATGGACTCATACTTACCACGTTATCTGTTGGGTAAAGAGGGCTTTGAACATTTAGATCCATTTGTGCCGCTGCATGTTGATAATTATAGCGATAAAGAGTTTGCTAGTTGCATACAGTACTATTTAGATCGGAATTGGATACAGAAAACACCAGAAGGCTTTGATGAACAGCTCAAATATCTGAGCAATAAAAATCCTTACACATTAATGCGATTAACACGTTCATTGTAAATAACTGTAAGAATTTTAATAACCCAATATTGTTGTAATGTTTTTAATATAAATATAAAAAAGTGAAATGAATATATAGCATTTTGCATTAGCGGAATATATAGTGAAAGGGAATGCCGTTTAAAAGTCAAAATTCATTAATTTTTTTTATAATTTAACTGTTTCTGCTTTTATTTAGGAAAATTTTACAATTGCTAATGTAATAATTGCTTAGGTCGCTTGCCACTAGAAATACTAATGCGTTTACTTTGATGTGTATACTATTGTTTTAGTCAAATATTTTTTTCTTTAATATAAACACAAATTGGGCGTTAACAAGCAAAAATTTTTTAGTTGAATACTCTGCCGCCGAAAGTATTTCACAACGATCAAAAGGCTATAAGTTGATCGTAACTTTATCTAATTCCTGAATGAATTCACTGCTTTGTGTGTTGAAACATACGATTGAGGCGTTATATGAATTTTTAATAGTCTAAACGTAGATAATAACGCCGTTCCCATATTTGCTAGGCCTCGATTTTAATTGGCGGATTTAGTCGCGGCCAATCAACGAATTCAACTCCGTAATGTAATATGCCAGTTGTACTCACTCCAATCATAGTACCCCAGAATAGGAGGAATAATAAACTTTCTGTATTAAATTCAGCCGGGAATATGGCGGTGATGAAAAGCATGGCGACAGCGAAAAGTAAAACGGAAGGAATCTGGAAAATTTTTGTTTAAGTAAATCCTTATGTAAGAAAATCTTTTTTTGCATAGTAATCAATTTACCGTATTGTAACGCCAAGTGCGTGTGACTACCAAAGGTGACGGCAGTAAGTTACCTTCATCGGATTTTACAACATATTTGCCCAGAAATAGATCAAAGCCATCCTGAAAGAAAAATAAATTATTTCATTAATTTTAATTTCTAATTAATTAAAAAAAATTCACAAATCTTAAAATAATCTAACCTGTCTGCTACCGTCGGCGAAGTTATTCAGATAGTAACGTGTTGCCGAGTTAATACCATCTTGCATGAGACCAGCTTTTGTACGTTTGCCTGTGCGAGTGAAATCGGTCTTTAGAGCGCCAGTACCGGAGTATTGTAATGATACTACATCAGCATTATCAGCCCAAACCTTATGTGTGAGAAGTTGATAGATATTGTTAAGCAATTGCAAAATTAATGTATATTGGACACTAACCCCCTTAAAAACGTACTCGAAGTTGGGTGAAGCACGCTCTACCATTTGACCAGCTTGTAAGATACCCAACTTTTGTAGTACAGCATTTAGTGAACGTTTGGCCAACATGCTTTGCACAACATTGGTGCGGTCCAAGCAGTCAATACAATTCGTACGGAAAACACCATCTTGAGCTGATACCAAACTGCCGTCCTCACGTAAATGGAAAACCGAAAACTCGTCCTGCTCATGTGCTACGCGATCAATGAGTATTTGCAAGCGATCCCAGCGCATTTTTTTACACTCAGCATGAAAATCAAAGGCTTCATAGCGCACGTTTGGATTGTTCATTTGTCCAACAAATGTACGGAATGCACGTTCCATATTGCCTTCGGCACGTTTCTGGTCCACCTAGAGTTAAATTGAAAATTTTTGCATATTATTTTGGGGTTTACTTATAAATATTTCTATGTTACCAAATTTAGTATAACTTGACGCCCGTAAAACATTATTTGGGTTTCAAAATGTTTCGTGCATGCCCCTAAATGGTCTTTGCCAGGCGTCAGTTCCGGATCCGGTTTATAACGTAGATTGGGTAGTTGACGCCAGAAGAATGGCATGCTCCCACGTGTCTATTTTTAAACAGATAAAAATTTTAATTTAGTTAAGTAAAAAAAAAAAATATTTTCTTTAGACAAACCTGTACAAAAGAGATGCGCTGCCCATTATACTCGACAATTTGTTCCGTTTCGACAAAATTAGCCACATTGCCCGTCTCATCAATGCCGCGCGCAAAGAAACGTGTGCCAGCACGATGTATGGAGCGGCGAGATATTATTGACCAAAAGAATGTTTGACCGTTAACTTGCACTTGATTAATGGAAACGACTGCAGAGGAGTAAATTATTAAAGTGTCTATAAAAAAATTTCACTTAGAGAATAAACTATACTTACAGCCAAGTACAATTGGCAGAGCGAATTTGCGCATTTCGGGACAGTTGAAGTTACGTAGTAATGCGCCATTCCATACAAAACGTTCATCGGCACGATCGAATAATCCATTCTTTTTATAATAATTTATTAAAATATAATATTTTAATAATAACTTCACCCACAACATACCTTCATAAAATCTGGTGGCATACCATGTAATCGCTGAAGTGTGTGCGTTAAATCGTACCAGTAGGAAAAATAGAAAAAACGAGTGTCCAAAGTTTGCCGTAGCATATTTAAATAAGTTTCATTTTGTTCGCGTTGCTTCGGACGTAAATGTGTAATTGTTGGAATGTAAGGAATAATATCATAACCAGCTAAACGCCATATTATAGCGCCATTAAGCATGCCTACGTAAAGGCGATGAGTTGCTACAACCAAATAATGTCCACCGAGCAATTGTATGGTGCCCAGAATGCCACACACACGTCTGGTAGGCACTTGATTGTTAAGTTGGTTGCCTTTGCCTGAAATATTAATGATATTGGTTATTACAAATGCATACATGACTTCATATTTCATTATTTGTCTTACTTTGCACTCGCACCGTGTTCACAACACGATCAATTACCAGTATCTCGTCCTTACCATTGGGTTCCACAACGAAACGCTCCGGCGTTATGTATCTATTATGGTATTATATTAAATTTGTTATAAATCAATAAAATCAATCTTTAAGTAATCATAATTGTGCTTTTGACACACTTGCTAATGTATGCAACGGGCAGTCGCAAGGCTAATCAAATCATAATGACTTTACAAGTGCAGATTAAGTGTATTCAACACAAGCACACACCCACAAAGACTACGCTAGTGGGCATAAGTTTACCCACCACTTGGTCCTACAAACATACAATATTAGCTATTAACTACTTACAGATTCATGTCATCATGTATGTCCCAACTCGTATCCATTTTGATTTGTGACACACTTCTTTAATTGCACGATATTTAACTTATCAATAGTTAAGAAATTAAATTTAATTATCCACAGCTTCTTTTATCAATTTTGCTAATCACTGCCTGGCAACAGAACCGACCCACTATGGGCGTTTTACTAGTAGTAGAGCAGCACGTTCGAGTATGTTAAAATGTTGTTATCGTTAATATTTTCGTTGTACAGATTTTTATTTAAAATACATTTATTACTATTTGATTAATTCCATTACTGCAAATAATTAATTTAGAATCGTGGACAAATTGGTTGCCAACAAAAATTTTGCGCATTGTGACAGTAAACAGCTGTTACGATTGGATTCATGGTTGCATTGAATTTAGGGCTGCATTGCGGTGTTTGGCGTACAGTGAGGGCAAAATCGTTACGAAATTAAATAATAAATACATAATTTGTTACGAATGAATGTATTTGAATCATGTTTTTTGATTTCATAACACGTCTACAATTTACTTAATAGTTCAAATAGTTGCAAATACCATAATGCGAGTGAAAAACGACTATAGTGATTCAACGGACCGTGCAATAATGTCTGAAATCTTACAGAGGCACTTCTGGAGTAGCATACTTTTTTAATTATGAGTTTTAAGATAATTTGCATCAATTAATCAAATTCGAAAACTTTCTTTTTTTAACTTCAACTGCAAGTAGGCGCCGTATCAAAACTCCACTCTTCTTTTTGTTGTTCGAGACCAATTGGAGAATTTCTCAAGTACTGCATCTTCTTTCATTAGTCAGTGTAGCCGCTATCACAGCTCAGCCTTCTATACGCAGACCATACACCTCCCTTTCTATGTCTCTCTCTCGAAAACTCTGACTTACCGAATACCATTAATTAGGATGCAAACAGGACTCGTCGAAAATGAACTAATTACATTTAGTATAAGGTATTCTGTAATTTTTGCTGCGTTTTAATAAAATCTCATCATCATAAAAATCCATCAGCCTTCCAAAGATGGCTTAGTAATATATAGTAGTTTAATATAGTAGGCCGGCTTTTGTTTTTTAAGTGTTAATTACTATTTATTTTCATTATACGGGGGCACGGATACAACTTATTTGGATAGATCTCATTGGGACCATTTGTTGTATATTTGTCTCATGCTTTCACCCCGTCTTATAAGGACCCTTAATCCAAGTACGAGCCGCTATCAGCTGATTTTGGCGGGCCGATTCAAAAGTTCATTCAAAATTCGCTCAATCAATTCGAATCGTCAATTTACATTGAGAAGAACCTTTAGCGCGCTACTGTAAAATTCAAATCGGCTTTAGACGAGTACGAAATTAGTCTGCAGCACGAAAAGACTTGTTCAAATTGAAATAAACAAATAATTTTGCACGCGTATCTTCCTACTTTTAAAGCGCTTAGTTTTTCCATAGAAATCTACTATTATTAAACAATTTGTATGAATTTTGTATATTTTAATTTGTTTAAGATCTTTTTTTTTTTTGCTATGAATTTGATTAGCATAAGCGACTCGTTTCTGAAGTAGTTTTGTATTCAGCGCTAGTTTTTGTTTTTAAATTTACTCGTATTTAAGTATTTAATTTTATCTGCGTGTGTTTTAAAGTTGTACCGAAAGGTTTATATATACATATATACATATGTACATTGTGTCTTATAGCATTTTGGCGGAAGCCAATTAATGAGGATACATATATTTGGTTATAAGATCATTATTTTATTGTAAATGTTTGATACAAAGGTCTGACTGCCTTCCTTCGACCCGTTGAAAAGTAATATTGCAACATTGTTTTTAGTACAAATTATAGATTTGTTTTGAAATATTTCTTAGATCCTCATTCCTATGAAGTTATTAGATTGTTTTAAAATAAGTGCCTGTTTTATGTTGGGGAAATATTATACATTTAATTGATATGTAAATTGTTATTATCTTTTTTACCATTTAAAGACATTCTATCATTATATATTTCATTATATAATAACTGGCGATTGTTACAAATAAATAACAAATATTTTTTCCATTAACAACGCATTTCGTAGCGTTAATTTTTATAAAAATACTCTTCACAACCTTCTCGAAAGGAAAACAACAATAATTACTCAACTGACAACTCTCAGTCATTGTGTGCACGCTCAATATAAAATATAATATGTAATTGCCCACCTGCCCTATTAAAAACATATGAGCAAGTTTGTTGCTGAAGTCTTTTGCTTAGATACGTATGTGCGATAGATATGTAAATACCGAAATCTCGGTGTTTCGCAGGCTTTAGGCTTAAGGTGAATAATTCAATTTAAAAAAGAAAATTAAACTTAATTAAGCACATTAATAAAGAATCAAATTAATTTATAATGAATATTGAATTAAAATAAATAAAATTGAATTAAAATTATTCAGAAGAAAAGTATTAAATATTAAACTAAATTAAAATAGTAAAGTAATTTTAGTTTAATTTAATATTTAATATTTTTTTTTCTGAAAAATTTTAATTCAATTTAAAATAGAAAAGTAATTTTAGTTTAATTGAATAGTTAATATTTTTCTTCTAAATAATTTTAATTCAATTTAATTTATTTTAATTTAATATGTATTATAAATTAATTTGATTCTTTATTAATGTACTTAATTATATTTAATTTTCTTTTTTAAATTGAATTATTCAATTATTCAATTATTGAATTTTATTCATAAGATTTTACTTTATTTTTCATTTTATTGCTATTTATTATATTTAATTCATTTAATTTAATTATATTTTGTTATAATATTTAATGTATCTTAATTTATTCTGTTTAATTTCGCTAAAAATTAAAATAACTTATTTTATTTTACTTAATTCTATTTATTTGTTTCATTTTAATTCAATTTGATTTATTTTAATTCAATATTTTTTACAATATAAAATAATTAGATAATTTGTTAATGTACATAATTAACTTTAATATATTTAAAAAAAAATGATTTAAATAATTTCATTCATAAGATTTTACATATCATTTTATTTTACTTTATTGCTATTTATTATATTTAATTAATTTAATTTAAATATAGTTTTTAATGGGGTTTAATGTATCTTAATTTATTCTGTTTAATTTTGCTAAACGTTAAAATAACTTATTTTATTTTACTTAATTTTCTTTATTTATTTCATTATAAGTAATTTTTAAAAAAAATTATTTTACTTAACTTTGATTTAACTTAATTAATTATCCTATTTAATTTTAATATACATATTTTATTCGACATTTTTTTATTACTTTCATTTATTTTGTTTACATTTAATATAATTAAAGTTTATTACATTTCAGTTAAATAAATTTTGGAAGTATTTCTTATGCTTGTTTTCATTAAATTTGTTTTTATATTAATTTTTTCATTTTATTTAAATTAAATATATTTAATTTGGTTTTATTTGATATTGATTTTGCAATTTTATTGATATTCGTATTTGTTAGGTTTTTTTATTATATTTTTTCTTTAATTTACTGTATCATATTATTTTAAATTTAATTTTTTTGTATAATTTTATTTATATTACATAATTTAATATTTTGCTATTAATTTTCTTTTTTAGTTTATTTTAACTTAATTTACTTTATTTTTGTTTGTTATATATCATTTTATTTTTATTTATACATTTTATTTTTTTTTGTTTTTTTTTTGTTCGTTCCTTTTTATTTTATTTTATTTTGCTTTGTTTTATTTTATTTAATTTCGTTTATCGTTTATCAGCTGCTCAAATTATACAATATCACAGGCTTTCCCTTGTCTATCCTCTACGATACGTTTGAAGGTGGGTTTGGTATGGAAATCGGTGAAAGAGACCTATACTAACGCCCCTTACTACTTTGTGGCTACTAGTTCAAAGTTCAGAGATACCGGTAACGGCTATCCAGAGCTCGTTAATAAACACCCCAAGTTGTAGAGTTTTCCTCTGCTAGAAGCCTTTTTATAAGCATCAAATACACTCCCTTTCTTGGTCGCTTTATTGAAGAACTAATTTTTCAAATCAAATCGTCCTTAGTTTTAAATGGGCTTGGGAGAATTCAGGAATACCGAAATTTTTTATTAGATACCTTCAATCCCGGATTCAAAATTTCCAGCTGATACTCGTATTGGCAACATTAATCTATGGTCAGTCAATAAGATTGATTCATACCTATAGGCGAATAGGTGCAAACATATGTACATATGTATAAAACTGTTTACTTAAAAATATATGCATATGTCAAATGCATGTAAGTAGAGGTAATTATGCGCAAATGTTTAATGCGCAATTGAATTGGCGAAGGTTCTCACGTACATATATAACCACAACTTTTTTCGCATTATTACAAATGCACATATAAACGCATATATCTAAATATGTAAACACTTGCTCATACAAACATACTTCCAAGCACCTGTAGGTCTTAATAAACTGGTTGTTGTCAATAATAATAAAAACAAAAGCAGAAAAAAAAACCGAATGGAATGACTTTGCAATGAATTACGTAAACATTGATGCTGCACAAACCCACACACATACATATACAGCGGCACATAAGTGACCAACGCCATATTTATGCACATGTCTACATACATATGCGTGCGCATGTAATCAAATGAAAATTAAATGCATAAAAACGAAAAATAAAACAAACAAAATTTATATTAAAGAATTCCAAAAATTTTCGCCGGCTACATTAGCCGCAAAAAAAAAAAAAACAATACGAGTACAAAGCAACGAATAGCGGAAGCATGTTGGGAAAATGTCAGAAGACAACGAGTTGAGCCGAAAAGGGCTGGCATACAGCAGGCGTGCACCGAGTGATGCTGATGGGCTGATAGGTCGAACGATTATTATTCGATTGTTTTCTTTTCTGTTTGTTTGTTTTTGGCTTTTATTTTATGCCGATTGAACATTCGACGACGAACCGGTATTTATGGTGTCGGCATTGCAAAAGGGTGAAAGTGACGTGCAACAATTCAATTTTATGCGCCGTTGGCTCTGATAAAG